GATAAAGAAAAAGTCACCTCTAAACAAATCCGGAGAGCAACAAAACTAAAACAAAAAGTACAAAAAGAGATAGCACCGTTAAAATTGATAGAAAAACGAGTGCTCAACCTAGAAAATATTTTAAAAGGATATAAGTACCTATCTATATTTGAAAAAAAGGACCGACCAGAAATTGCTACAATAATGGAACGATACCCTAGAGTAACCAACCTAAAGAAGTTACCAGATAAAATAATAAATAAAGCTAAACAACAATTGTATCATTATACATTATTCTACAATGGAAACGGCGTAGCACACAAAATTAAAATACGACAAACACAAGACTATCAAATTACGCTTGTAACCATGAACTATTTGATGAACTAATATGAAAATCTGACCTTAATCTAGAAATTACCGGCAACACAAAATCCGGCCACCTAATTGTTAACCTTAGCCAAGAATTATATACTGTATTATTAAAAGCCTTAAAAATTATCCTTCGTGTAATAAATTTGTGTGCAATTTTATATCATATATATTTACGGTATAGTATTATTAACGTCATAATGTTTCTAAACCCAATTATCACATCATGTGATATAATTGAAATCCGCCCATATGGTGGCCTGCGGATCGTATTGATTGGCTGATCTGTGCTATATGCAGCTGGGTATTTGGTGCTGGGTCAGATCGATGCTTAGTCTGGTTTTTCACTTTTGTCAACATATACGAACAATTACCGTAATTTGCTTTATATAAGATCCGGATTCCACTAATTTTTAAACCATATAGTAGACCCCGGGTCTAGTACTCGCTGAGAGCAAGAAAAAATTTAAAGTGCATGCACACCTTGTATTTACAATAGGCAGTCTAACTATGTGAAAAATCTACTATTTGAGGGATCTTGTATACGGCAAATTACGGTAATAGATAATGTTTAGAATAATTACTTACACTGCTTATTTTTCAAACAAAACCATATTAAATTGGTAAATTTATATGTTTATAACTAAAAATTTACATTTATTATTATACTAAAAGATTGATAATTGCAATTACATGAGTTTTTTACGCCCTGCATAAATTTTATTACAGTAAAATAAACTTAATCATCAAAAAATTTTTATGTAATTATTTTGTATAGATATATCTAAAATTTTATATATACGTATAAGATAATTAATAACAACATTTTCTCATTTATAGTCATACAAATAGTATATCGCTAACCTAAGAGGATTATGTAATGTGACAATGCAAAAAAATTTTTTTTTTTTTAAATCATTAAATGAATGATATGTGATTATGTATACAATAGTAAACCTCAATTGTTTACAAAAAACTTAATACAAAGTTTCTTTTTCATCAACTCCAAGTGCTCTCATCACTTGATCCAAATGCTCTTCTACTGTCATACCTGTAACAATGCCAGTTCCACCACTTTCAATTTCTTCACCATAAGCATAATGATTATTATCCTCATTATTTAAATTCATACCACCTAATCCTTTTGTCATCTCTCCAAGCAATTTGGGTAAAGGTATATCATTGGCAAAGTATATACTTGTACTAGGTATAAAATTTTCATCAGTTTCGAATGACTTTTTCCGTGGCATAACACCAGGTACATGTAATGGACTTGGAAAATTGGTATCATAATAATAATCTAAATGACTAGACCTAATATCTGGCTTTTCTAATAAATTATCATCCAAATCTCCATTATCTTTTTCGAGATCTAATGGTAAAGTTTGTGGATAGGTATCTTCATCTTCTTCATTATAATTATAATAATAATTAAAGTGATCATCTAAATTTTCATCACTGATCACTTGCAATAAAAATGAACCATCACTCATTTCTAAAACTTCAACATGTTGATGTTCTAATAATTCATTATTTCCATCTATATTACCATTGCTTAAAATAAAATCTTCATCACCAAATTCTCGATCTTTAATAGTACTCCATTGTGTAGGATCTATTATATCTGTATCTTGTTTATATCTTTTTGATTCGTTTTCTTCTTCATCATCGGCAGCCTCATTGTCCGAATAGTTATAGCAGTCATATAAACTTTCTCCATAACCACTATAATTACTCTTTGCTCCAATGCTTTTTCGATATTTACTGTTTGAAGAATAAGTACTACTTTTACTTGTCCTTTTCGAAGAAATACTTTGTCTATGAGGAGCTGGAATTGGTGGTATAGGAATTCCATATGGTGAATTCATTACACTATCTCGTGTATTAGGTGATGGAATTGGTGTTGGTGATCGGTATAATGAACTTTGTTGTGGTATTGGTATGCTTAAACTGTTTGTGTCACTCGTATCATATGTATTTACTGAACTTTGTTGTGATATTCTAGCTGCCTTTTCTTTACTATTCTGATCATTTGAATTATTATTATCTTTACCCCGCTTAGATAACAACCATTTACGTCCATCAGAAGCAAGATGTATAATCTTCTTTTTTGTTAATCTACGATTTACTAATGAAACAAATTTAACATTTCCAGGAGATGGTGGTGTAGATGAATTAGTTTGGGGTGATAAATCTTCCGGTAAAGGTGGTAAAAATGGTTTTGTTATTATTATAGTTCTTCTTATAACTTTACCTCTTGATTTCTTCTTTGAATTATTATCATCAGTTTCATTGTTAGGTGATGGATACGTTGTAGGAACTTGTAAATGATCACTATTTTTACTATTCCTACTACTACGACTACTTCTATTACTACTATAGCTATTAAATATTGACATAAATTTCGAAGAAGTTCCTGAATCCCTAGAGTCTTGTTTATCATCACTAGCAGAACTAAAACTACTTCCAGTACTATTATTTCGCTTAATTATCGTTTTTTTCTGAAGTCTCTTTTCATAATTTGAATTTCTTAGTGGATTTCTTGGAGATATTGGTGGTGGTGAACCCCTTCCGGATGGAGCATCACTAAATGGTGATATCAAGCTAACAGGGCTATAAGGTGAAGGTGGTGGACTACTTGGTATACTTTCAGGTTCATTTGTTAATAATTTATTATTTTCCGATTGTATGGACTGTACGGATGGCGATATTTGTAAATTTGTATCTGAATTTGAAATTTCTGATACAAGTTTAGTTGTATTCATTTCTTGTTCATCATTAGTTGTAATTGTATCTTGTATGCTTTCTAATATATTATCTTTTGATGATTTCTTATCTAAAGAAGATGACATAGATTCCGTACGTGCTAATTGCGAACTTAGACTTGACGATGTAGACTGTTCTCTTTTATTACTTGAATATCGAGATACCATTTCTGCATGACGTCTCAATGCATCAATATCAAACATTGGGCCTGTCATAGGTTTTTTAGGTTCATTACCTCTTGAAACCACTGGTTCTTCAATAATATCAGAATCACTTCCAGGATATTTATTATATAAATTTTCTGTTGCAATATTTTCTTCTGAAGAAGTTGTAAAATTTTGTACCGAATTATTAATTCCATCATCATCATCATCATCATCATCATCATTAATAATATATTCTGATTTTATTTGTTCTTTTTCATTCATAACATAAGCGAAATTATTACGAATATCTCGTCTTAAAGCTTCATTGGGTCTATTTTCTCTAGTACTATAAGCCCTCCTTTTTCCAAGGTCAAAACCTTTCTTTTCAGCATTATTAAATTTTTGATTTAAATTTTCTTCACTAACAAATTTCCTTGGTAAATTATCCACAGAAGAGTTTGGAGATGGACCAGATTTTTGTTTCTTACCACCAAATAAGCTTGATTTACTTGCCTCATTATTATCATTTGTAAATGCATCTTTTATCTTTTTTAATGATTTTCCAAAACCTGTATCAGTCTCACGTAATGAAAACTTTCTTCGAAACCTAGTAGTATTCTTTCCTTCTTCTTCATTGCCAAGAGTCACAATAGGTACGGCTTTTATATTTGAGGATGTTGACACCAATTGTGGACTTGATATTGTTTTTATAGTATTATTCTTTGATGATTTTGGCCATTTACGTGGTGAATTAGATGATTGTATATTTAAATTTTCATTGGCATTTTGTACTCTTCTCATTACCATAACTTGATGTGCAATATCACTTTGTCCTGATGCTATTAAAGTATCAGTAAGTGATAATGGAGGAGGTTGTGGTTTTGGTGGTGCAACAGTTCGTAATGTACGTTTTACAGGTAATTCAAATGCAGCATTAGTTTTTTGAGAACTAGTTGAAGCCTTGCCTCCAAGTTGTATCATAATCGGTTTTGCATAATTACCATCAGTTGTATAAAGTGGAGCAGCTTGTTGTTTGGCATACCCAATCCGTACGTTAGCATCATTAGATTGTTGTTCAACTTTATCATTACTTAATGTATTTAAAGAAATGCTACTATTGACACTATTCGTAGTTTGTGGTGATTGAGGAGATTGTGCTATTGAACTTGAATCACGATCAGAAAAAGAATTATTTGATGACATAGAATTAGGATGAGTCAACTGATTGGAAGAAATATGAGACTGTTTATTAATCAAAGATTCTCCTTGAAATTCTTCGTAATTGTCATAATCGTTATAATCAGCATGATAAATTGAAGTAGTAGAAGGAACGTATATAGTATTTGCATCGGAATTTTGATAATTATTTGAACCTTCAGTCATTAAAGATTCTCTTGATAAATGAATTGGAGAATTTTCATTTTCAGGACTATTAATAGGAGTAATTAAAGATTTTCCGGCTGAAGATTGAGAAAGACGCAAAAGGCCATCAGATAATCTATCCAATGGAGAACGAGAAAGAGAATGAATATCATTATCATCATCAGAGATATTAAAAGTATTAAAAGTAGGGGAAAGTTGTTTTGGAGATAAAGTAGATATCATAGGAGAGAGACTTTGAAAAGAATCTCTAGAAATAATGTCAAGTTGAGAGTTATCGGAAGAATTTGTGTGTTGAGTATTATTGGTATGAAGTTTATTAGATAATTTTATAGGAGATAACGAGGGAGGACGTGTTCTTGGAGGGTGGGGACGATCTTTTGTAGGATTCTCTAAAATACCAGACTGTCTCCTTATATCCTTAGAATTGAATACATTTTGATCATTAAAATCTTCTACGATTTTTTGATTATTCGACATAGAATCAGTGTTTAATGGATCAACCGTTGCATCTTGAGAATCGTCAATAGGGTTAATATTATTTACATTTGAATAAGATAAATTATTTGTAATATTTTTAGAAGGATCACGAATAGATCCTTGTTGAATGGGGTAATATCCACTAGTGACATTTGTACCATAAAATTTTCTAGCATTAGATATTTCCTGATTCGCGTCATTTGTAATTATAGGGGAAGTTGACGATAGTGTGTTTACAGAATTTGGAGAAGTCGAAGAAATTGGAAAGTCGAGAATTGAATCATCCTCATGCAACTCTACGAGATTACTCAACGGTGAACGCGCTTTATAAAAAAAAAAACAAAAAAACTTAGGTTAATAATAATTGAGTAATAGTAATAAATAGATACTTTTAACTAGTGTTACAAATCGTCAAAATTTTTTCAATCGATTAGTTGGGTAACTATTTTTTCAGTTGAACGACAAATCGATTAATTGTTAGGTTGCAATTAATCGATTTTTCGATTAATTGTAAGTTATAACTAACCGATTAATCGATTAAGTGCAACTAATTAATTAAAGAATTAAATAATTTTTCAATCGATTAGCAATTATTGCGGTTTGCAAAAA